TGTGTATAATTCGTGGGTAAAGTTGTTGTTTTTTTAAAATCCCTGTTACCCCCCCCCCCTCATGGATGGTCTGGTCAAAAATGACAATTTTTTCGATAACTCAGTCATTACTTGACGGATCCTTCTCATCTTCGAACTCAACCGAGATATTGATGAGATCATTCTGTGTACAAAATTTCATGGTAACTGGATGAGACTTTCAAAAGTTATCGTGCCTACGGCCGGACACACTGACCGATTCTAGTGTACTCACTTTTTGAGTACACAAAAAGAATTATGACTTAAAATATTGGGTCAGCGAAAAATAAAGTTAGTTACCACTAAGTAAATAAAAACCACAAGCAAGAGAAATGATAAGTGATACAGCCCATTCTTGACATTTGAAATGATCTTTTAGATCATCTGAGATGGCACCGAATGCATAAAGAAAGCCATCAATGATTAAATTGATAAGCTATATAAATATATGATAATTAATTTTCTTTTTGTAAAAGAAAATCTCATTTAGTTACTTACAAAACAAGCAATAAGAACTACCCAACCAAATCCTCCATCGGGTGGAACTGTAATATAATCATATTCTCCATCATCTTCTAATTTACGTAATTTTCTTTTGTCTGAAACTGATTCAACAGCTTCATTTTTAGATGTAGCTTTAATCTCTGTGGCCATTCATCAAATATTTGCTCTAATGATATTGTTCTTCACTGTTTTACAAGCATAAAATGCGAACTATGCACATATTCTTAGGGATTTTTTTTTCTTTTTGTTCTTTTACTAGATGTGCTTAAAACTGCAGTAATGTTGATGATAACAGCAAGGTTACGTAGAATGATAATCGACTAAGCATCTATTAAAACAAGAAAAAAATAATGTAAAACATGTAAGCATCAACAAATAGTAATAAAACAAAATGCAATTTTTATGTTGCGTTTGCTAGTCATTAGAAGAAAGACTTTTTTTAATATTTTTTTTTTTGACAACAAAGAAACGGTAAAGAAAAATAAAAGACGTAATTACAATGCCATTGACTGTGTAAGGCAGCCCAATAAAAAATATTTAGCTACGTGCCATCGAGTATAGAAGTATAGTAGAAACACTTCTAGACGATGCTGACATTAGCGAATCTTTTTTTTTCTCGTTCAGACGGTAATAGAAAGAAAGAAAAAGCACACAGAGACTAAACATTGAGATTTGTTTGTCGCCTACTAATATATTATTTTAGTTACATCGTTGTATGCTGATTAATATTTAAGAATATATTCTTGTAGGTAAATTCTTTATCGCTAAAAGATATTAATTAAAAGTGGATTATTTCATGGATATCTCGAATTTTACATGTTGTGTACGTGCGACAGATCCATATAAAGAAAGAAAAAGCATACCATAGTCAATCAAGATAATTTAAGACACGCATCTTTAATAAAATAAACATGTTTCGCTGATGTATAACGATTAAAAACGTATGAAAAGGAGATAAAAAAAGACACTACAATAGCATATCTTTTAAATCTACACTTTCATGTAATGATAGTATTAAAAATTTTGCATAGAGTATTTACGTAAAGTATTATATGATCGATGCTTTTTGCTTACTTTTTTTACGCATATCTTCTTCAGTCTACACGTCTCATAATGATGTCAAGCGTGTTTTAAAGATAATCATGATCGTTTTATGTAAGATCGAATAATGAGTGTAGGAAGAAAGAAAAGCATGTTCTTTTACGCGAGTGAATAGAACGAGTAGTAGGTATAGAAAAGAATAATGCATTAATATGACATCCAGCTAACACTTGTTGTCAACTTTGAATATATGTATATATAGCCTTCACTCACATTATTGAGTGCCAATCTGGTTGGTAGTTACGTGCAACGGCTGAATGGCGGATCTAGTTTTCTCTCTTTTTATTTCCGACAGAGATAGACATGCTATGCTTCCTGTAGTCTTCTCTTAAAAACATTGCGATCATAATGCGTGGGATGTAAGTCAATATAAGACGTCAACTCAAATAAAGTTGATTACCAATCTAGTATTGGCATTTGCAAACAAAACTTATCAATGGTGACAGATAATAGAAAATTAGTTTTTTTCTACTACTGAAAAGAATGGTAATATTATCATTCAGTGAAGCTTATGCAACATTCTCTTACTATTACGACGTGTAGAACAGATTGTGCCAATTACATATATTTATTATGAAATGGCATCAGTTTGATCATTCATTCCTTTATATTATATGCTGAAAGACGTGATACTATCTATCAATTGAGAATATTAAAAAGACTCTTGTCTTGCTCGATAAGTGATGAAGTAAATATATATTATAATGACACCACAAAACGATCGAGATCAACATTAATTAAATTGTTCCATCGGTGAACGCTACTTTGTTTTTCTTCACATAAATGAAAATATGCACTCGCGAAGGTTATACTACGCAAAACTAAAAGCTATTGAATTTCAGTAAACGAGATTCTTATTCATTTTCATATAATAACAACGATTGATCGGCGTAATATACATGATTAATGGTGTAGTCTGTTTTTAGTTTGTGAGTCACGCAAAATACTCCAAACAATAGAAATTTTTTTTATTGATTTCAGATAAATAAGCGTGACAACATATTCTTACTAGATTTAATAAATTACCATTATTTTTCTTAATTTGAATGCTCAAACTTACTTGACCGTTTGTTGGGTGTTATTTATAAACATATATCTAAATACACAGTTATATTCAAAAATAGCATTGAGAAATACACAATGACTCATATGAATACAAATATTGAGCTTATTTTCTCGTTCTTCCTCTATATTTGCTTGCTTTTCATTTTCCAAAAAGAAACATAGATAAAGAGACAACAGTCAAACGGATTTGTTCACAGCCAACAACGGAAATCAAATCGAAAAAAAAACGTCAACTGATTGAGTATCGACAAAAAAAATAAAAGTTATTTTGCTCAATCCATACAACAAAGACAAAAAAAAAATATGATAGGAAATGAGAAAAAAAGATGGAAAAAAATTCTTATGAGACTGGCACCGAAATATACCTTCAAACAAATACACCTACATACACCTGAGAGAAGGAGTTAAAACAAATATAGATAGATTATATATAAAGGCTAAAAGAAAAATAAAAATAAAGGTTAAATTTAAAATATAGAAAGTTGTGAGTATAGATAGAGATTCACGAAAACTTGATAGAAATATAATTTTTGTTCATTATTAGACGAGAAAATATGACTAGATGACAAAATGAATAATATCGAATTTCGTCGTATACATATATATATATATATATATATTCACATACAAAGGCCACTGAATGGGCATCGCTCTTTTTCTTGATCAGTTGTGCATATACAATATATTTGTGGAACATGATGTGAGTCCCAATTACCTAAATGAACAATAAATATTATATACAAATCAAACAATAAATTTAAACAAACCTGGGCCAGCAAGCACCGATATATCATGAAGGCAGCAAGGAATTCTTTGTAGTAAACGAAATTTATAAAGTAAACTTCGAGCCTACGTGAAAAAATATAAAATTATTATTTCATTTTCTTTACAACAATTATCTTCTACTTTTCTCAACACAATCGGACCACTCATATGCATGGCAAGGCTATTAAAATGAAGAAGCATGTCATCTGTGCCAAGATTTTGTTGTACAATATCATCGCCGTATACTGCCATAATACTTATACAAATAAATAAATGAAAATAATCTGTTTGATAATGTGACCAACATGCTTCCCACATTCGTAACGCTTCTAAATAGATAAAAAAAATTCTATTTTAATAAGAAATGCTAAAGTTGACTTTCATTCAATGAAAATCAATTTTCTATTGAGTACATTCTAATTTGATAAGATTTTCAGAATATATTCAATGAAGAACATTCCAAAATAGCTTTTTCTTTTAATACCTGAAAGTTTCTTGTTCAGTATCATTTCATGTGCTTAGTTTTATGTTTTAAACACGGATGACAAAATCTGTTTTAATTGCTTTCAATAAAAGAAGGAAGATCAAATTTCTAAGCCATCCCAAAAAAGGCTTTGGGACAAATACATCCTTTTATATGATAGTAACAAAATTTCAATATCAAACGTATCGCCTGAGCTGATTTCGATGTTTTTTTCACACAGCAGAAATATAATAAATAAGTGAGTGAGCTACTTGGACACCTTGGTATTATTGATTTATTTAGAAAGAGGCATAATGTAAACAAAATTGACTATGACACTCCGAATCATTCTATTTTGAATACTAATGCATATATCATATATCATTAGTCTCATGGGTATACTCAAAATTCTCATCAATTATTCAAATATAGATTGTGGCGGGTAATCAGACGTCTGCACCGGGCATCAATCTTTTTTTTCATCGAGTAGCTATGTAACAATACATTATTTGAATGCTTTGGATTCTTTTCAAAGTTTCAAAATGCTTCATATTTTAGATATAATCCGATAGGATTAGATGCAAATGCTCTTATTTTTAGATGAGAAAAAATACACTGAATATTTTCTCGTAACTAATTTATAAAAAAAGAGGCTTATGTGGAATGTTATTGGTTAATGATAACATTTTATAAAAAAAAACAAAACATGAAACTACTCATGTTTCTAGATTTTAAGTATTTATTTACGTCAATTTGCATTAAAAAAACTATATATTTTTAATTATTCTCTGAATTTTGAAAAATTTAGCTTTATTGAATTTTATTTTGTGGATTTACTATTGAAAAGATAACATGGGATACGTTACCGCAAAACTGCTACTAGATCCGTTTCCTACTACTAATCGTGCCCGTTTTTTTAATACTTATTTACTAATTTAATTTCAGTAGATGTGAGCATAAAATGCTTAAACTTTTACAGGCAAACACACTCGCAAGAGTATATTTAAAATATTAAAGGGGAATCAATAATGAATAGTTCGCTTTGTTTTGAACTGGCCGTGTTTTTATACGCACCTCGTCCAGGAAATTCACGTTTAAAACATAATAATATCCATCGATGAGCAAAAAGTAAATCGAGTCCATCAGGTAATTTCGCACAATGATCATAAAACAACGGCAACATTAATAATAACAGTTCACGAAGATATTTCTAGAAAATTTAAAAACAAGATATATCTTATTTCATGTAACAATTCTTTTTGTTTGGCATTTTAATTTACCAGTTGTTTTTCCATAACGTCATCGGTTGGTGTTGATATAAATATTGTTCGATTCATAAGTCCAACAAAACACCAAAATGTATCCGATTCATTTTGAATGACAGTTAATATTGGTGCTAAAAGATCCGACATACCCTGATTGTAGCCCATGGTTGGGCAGTATGCTGCATAATTCATTAAAATTTCTCTAAGAAATATTTACAAGAAAAATATAAACAAGAAATAATTCATTTTTAATGCTTACTTCATCACTCGTAAATTTGGATTATCATCACCTTTGAAATAGGGATGTGAACGATCAGTACGTACAACATCTTTTTCAATAATAGCTTCAACATCACGAAAAAATTGAGCTTCGTCTGGACCATTTATTGCTGCATCTCTATTGTATACAAGAATTGTTAAAACAAAAACTGAAGAATATGATAAATACGATACCGTCGTGCGCGTATTTTCTGATAATGTAAATATTTATTATGTCGAATTTGTTCGCGTTGTTCAAATGTTGAATCGAATGGATAGAGATGAAGTAGAAATGGCCATACTTCATTTTCTATTGATGGATCGATGCCAGCAAAAAATATTGTCTAAATACAAATTCAATCATTGACATGTAATAAATTTTCATAAAATCATTTCAAAAGTAAATCAATATAAAATTCTATTTTTGATATATTCCTCTGAAGAGCAAATAAAAGTTGGGTAGACACTTTTTCCATGGAAACGCATTTTATGTTGCTTTGAAGTTCTCTCAATCAATGTTCTATGGGAACGTAAGTATTTTAAGAGATGAATATGAAGAGTTTTTGCTTGTTAGGCAGTATTCAGCTTAAAAAGCTGTTAGCGCAATCCCTTTGGGATTAAAATGTGAAACACGATGTAAATGTTAATTCTGACCAGAAAAACAATTTATTCTATATATTTCTGAACTTTTTCTTTCATTATACTTTAATGAACCATCTATAAGTGAAAAATGTAAGTAGATCATAAATTTGCTGATATTGTAGCATTATGTGCTCCTTGACCGTACGAAGACGGCCACTAATATTCATCAAAGTATATCATAAGTGCTCCTGTCTATCTGCTAACCCGTTTGTGATTGTTCCAATGCCTATCTGTTAGGGTCTGTTATAGGTAATTAACTAATTATGCCGTATTTAGCTAATTCATCAATTAAAATATATGTGGAAGGAATCCAACTGTGTATCCTAAACACCTCAACATTGCTTTCCGTTCGACTTCGACAAAGCACCTCTGTAACGCTCTGCGATGGATAAATCACCTCACTGTATTGATCTGCGATGGGCAAAATTTACCCATCACAGACCGTTACCGACAGATGATAACCTGTCGGTAACGGTCTGTGGAGGGTGCAAGATTTCTACCCTAAACACTTCAACGCTCCTTTCAGGTCGTGTTTCACAAAATTTCAAAGCATCCCGTACCGTGTAGAATTGATAGAAATTCGATTAAAACAAGTTGAGAAAACCTGTAAAGCAAGATACAATTTAATTTTATCTTCTTTTTTCAATGCTGAAAATTATAATGGTTTCTTTTTTTTTTATCAACGATTATTCGCACAATATTCAATCGGTAATGCGACACATGAAAAAAAAAGACTCTAAATTCTGATGATTATTAAAGAGAATTTGCAGATGTTTTAATCATTGAAATACTGTAAAGCTTCTCGATATAGGAATTTCTACACGATAAACAACTTTTAGTCAATGCTAATGGAATTCTATAGAATTGAGTTTCTCAAATATGATCATTTCCTTGATGTGAACATAGGAGGCTTATTTTTATGTCGTAAGCAAAAAAAAACTTTCTATCAAAACAATAGCACCATCTATTCTATCAATCAAGCGTAGAACGAGAAAATCGATTCTTTGTGTTTTGCGAAAAGGGAATAGACTAGCCGTGCATACTTCAAAGAAAAAAAATTAACAGTAGTGCTTGGTGCGATATGTCTTCGTTTCTTTTGTATTAATATTTGATAAAATTGAATCATATTAACATACATTTTACGCCTGATTAAAATAATTGCATTAATAATAAATTGTCGAGTATAAAAGAAAGATCGTCTTGTGTAACTCAAAGCGATCACAACAGAATACTTATAGGCTACTAAATAAAGGAAATCGAAAATATCTTCTGATAATGAGTACTTTAGCTGATTTCGATGATACGATCATAAAAGATGCAGCACTATATTTAGGGGTTTTTGAAAATTTCATAGATTACCGTAGCGAATCTGTTTAATGGCCTCTACTAGAAAGTGCTATTTAACGTATGATAACTTGTTAATTCATTATAATTAGTGAATAGTTTTTATGCTAATGCTTTAAAAATATATGTTGCTTGTAAGATTATTCAAGTGATATGACATCTTATGATAATATATATATATATATATATATATATTCTACATGAATGGTTGTTAAGGGGAATAAAAACAGACAGCAAATTTACCTTTCTTAATTGATGATTATCTTCAATTTGTCCTGATAAATTCATGCACGTTCTCCAATTATCATTAGTTATCAAATGATAACAACCTTCTTCCGGATGTAAATCACTTGAATCAATAGTAGGACGAACGACATTAAATTGATAACAATTAGCAAAACCTCGCCGAGTTTTTTCGTAAGCAAATAAATTCCATTCATTTAGTATTTCAATTAAACGATCAAGGCCACCATTATGAAAATGTAAAACTTTATATTGTGATTCGCATGATGCTATAACTAATTGTCCACTACCACTAGCTGTTGTTGATGCGTCATCACAATAAAACAAACGTAACGAACGCATTTTACCAAGATCAACAGAAAAAACACCACAGAATTGATCAGCAACAGTTCGTATCGCTTCGTCATCTTCATTTATTGATGATTCTGGTTTATTTATACCTGTAACATTTTTCCATGATTCTGTTTCTTTCATAAATGGTAAACTATGATCGATAACAGAATTTGATGATTGATCATTCGTGTCAATATGTTCAAATGCTTCGTCGTCATCTGGTTCGTCAAGGATTTCATCGGGTCCTTCAGTCAAATCTGATGTAACTGATTCTTGTCTTCTATAAGATTTATCATCGAGAGCATCTTCATATTTATCATCAGATGAATGACGACGAACACTCTGATTATCTTGTTCGATTGGTGATAATAAAGGATTGGAATTTGTTGTATGATAACCACTATCAATAGTTCTTGATAATGAATGACGAGGTGTTGATGTTGGAGGCGGATCTGCATTCGTATCTAATGACGGCGATGATGCTTCGTCTAATGTAAATGATTGTTGTGACGTATTCGAACGATTTTTTAACGTTGAATTTGGTATCCAAGTTAAAATTAATGTAGAACCAAATTGTGGACCATGCTGACATTTAATACATAAATAACCCGGATGATGTAGTGTATATGAATGTAAACGTGATGGAGGATGTACGCAAATATTATTTTTAGAAAATATTATTTCACCATCTAATGGTGGGCATTTATTTTTTAATAATGACGATGTTGTTGATGGTACACCTGTTGGACTTCCACGATGTGTTAAAAGATTTGATGCTCGACGAATAATCGATGTGACGGAATGCTTTGATGGTGATGATCTTTGATTATTTATTGGTGTTGTAGGAAGTGAGGATATCTTTTTATATAGGCTTGACATGATAGAAAAAAAGAAATTCTAGAAGAAAACGAAATGAAAACTTCTATGGAAAGTATAGGAATTGAAAAAAAACCAAATTATTTCCATTTGTTTTTTATTGCCTGAAAGACTAGTATAATATATAATTTATCAATGACAAACAAATATAAGACTAGTGCCATCTGTAGGATGAGAAGAATATGAACCGTTGATTATTAGAATTAACCTTTTAGATGCTATATTCAGAAAAACGTTTTCAAATAAAATTTTCGTCATTCTTATCAAGACAAACAGTAACGATAATATCTTACAATATTCCAGTTCGTGATCAATTCGTTGTTCTACTATCCAATCGATGAAAACTACCGTAGTTCTCTGTAATTGAAAAGAACAGAGCAGAGCACCCTTCATCAACCAATTTCTGTCAATGTTTATAACGTACATCTTATTTTTTCTTATTCAAAATAAAAAATAATAATCGTCTCATTTAGTATACTACTAGATTAGTTATAGTTGTTGATTTCTCAATTGAATCTATAAAACTATGTCGTATAATTTTTCGTACTATCGCACTAGAATACTTATCGGAAGATTCATTACGATTCAAGTGTTACATTAGTGGTAATTTATCAGTAAATACCTTTGCACTTTGTAAACCCTCTAGAAACTAGGTTTTATGTTATTTTATTAACTTAACAGATGAGTCATTTTATTGACTAAGATTTTATCTTATTCAAATCCATGTACTGTTTTGTGACTACCACGTACTGAAAGAACAAGCAAGGCGTACTTGAGTACTATTGATCCGTTCATGTTATCATAAAGGAACGTGTTGGTGACTCACGCTCAGTATTTACGTCAACCCTCCATATATTCTGTAGTAGCTATCATACTTTATGTGTTCTTGCCCATAAGAATTCTTTTATTAGATAAATATTCTGTTTTGAGTTTATTAGTTTTTGTTAGAGGGAGTGACGCACTTATTAGAGAAACATAAAGTATTAGTCATTCTTATTATATAATAGCTATCCAATAGAGTAAAGAAGAGGGAAAACTATTTCAAGATAACTTTCATATATACAACAGCTATAGAAAGATTGAAATACTGTCCGATTCGATTTTACTATACACAAAAGTAAGGTAAAAGCGTCTACCTTCAATGCTTATGACATTTTACTGAGACCAATAATAAGTACATGTTGTAGAAATCGCATAAAGTTTTAGTCGTATGTTAACTTTTAGATTTATTTTAGTTCTTATTTTCAACATCCATATTAACAATTTATTTTTAATTTGAAACGTAAAACATTTTGAATTCAATACTTCTGAATTTGCTATTTTCTAGGCAATAAATTTATTTGGATTAATTTCAAATAATCAATAATGCCATCAAATAATATAGAGACACAGAACGGTGACGTTCCCATTATCGACTTAACGGCAAACGAACACGATGACCAAAGACCATTATTAAGTGATGATAATGTTCAACAAGCTGGCTCCAATTTATCAACACCTAATGTTGATACTATTCGTGTTCCATCGATTACTCGCTATCGTCTGACAAATGTTCTTCGCAGCGTTCTTTTGATTGAGTTTCTAACATTACTCATTATTTGGTTCATAGGTAACGAATGAATTTTGTTTTTTTCGTATTTCATGTGTAAAAATTTACATTTAATAGGTAGTATGACACATACGCTTATTGACGATATAGTTCATTATCAATTTACAACATCTATATTTGATATCGTTTGTGTATCACTATGCAAAATGATTTTATTAGTTATTCTTCTAACAGAATTAGAAACATTTTCTATTGCTCGTCTATATCAAGCAGATTCAAATCAAGCATTTATTTTAATTCGTTATTTATGTAAAATTTTACTTATTCTCATAGCGATGAGTTCATTAGCATTTGCGATAGTTAAACTGGTATTCGTTTTACGGAAATCAAATTTAGAGAAACTCTATTTATCAACAGTTTATTTATTTGTTGTATTTTCATCAATAGAATTTATCGGCGTCATATTGATGATACCATATTTAAAACTAGTCAAATTACTTGAACAACAAAAATCAAGTGTACCAAAAAAAAAAGTTGATTTAATACGTTTATTTTCATTAGCAAAGTCCGAACGGTTATTAATGAGTGTTGCCATTATTTTTTTATTAATATCAACTGTAACACAAATTGTTCAGCCATACTTTTTTGGAAAAATCATTGATGGCGCAATAACATCTGATGGAATGAGTGTAGTTAATAGAAATGTTATCCTTTTATTTATTATTAATTGTGTAGGAGCAGTAGCATCCGCTATTCGTTCATGGCTATTTGAATTATCTGGACAGTATGTGTAGAATTTCATGTTTTATTTTTATCTTTTAACTTCTTTCTTGCAGGAGACTCGTCTATCGTCTGCGTCAAAGTATATTAGATTCCATTGTAAAACAAGAGGTTGGCTTTTTTGATGAGACACGTACCGGCGAATTAACAAATCGTTTATCAAGTGACACACAAGTATTACAAAATGCTGTTACCGTTAACATATCGATGTTAGTACGTTTTCTCTTACAAATAATTGGTAGTCTTGTGGTGATGTTTTATTTGGAAGTAACATTGACACTTGTTCTAATGGTTGTTGTACCATTTATTATTCTTATTGCAAAACTATACGGATCTATTGTGCAAAAATTACGAAAACAATTTCAAGATGAATTAGCTGCGGCTGGAACAACAGCTGAAGAATCAATATCAAATATTCGTAAGAAGCGTTTTTCCTCTTCTCTTCATTAGACATTCAGAGGCATGAAAAAAATTGAATTTCAAGTGGATTAACTTTTTTCTACAATGCCAAGTATTTAACTGAAATTAAACAGTAAGGTTATTGCAAAACCACATCCCAGAAAGACTGAAAATTAGCTTTCAAGAGTAGCTACTATTAATATCTGTCACATTCGCTACAGCCTTCTCTTAAATAAGTCTTTTTTTTTCAATCATTATAAACCCATTCAGAAGATTATACTTGATCGTATTAGTAATTATTTGTCAAACAGATAGTGTCTGATTTTAAAATAAAAACTTGTACATAATATAATGTCCCTTGAAAAATAATAGCTGCATTGACAGGAATCGATACGAGTATCACGGTTTTATATGTTGTAAAAACAAGATGAAATCACATCTAATTGCATACTATATGTTTTAAACTATTTTCGAAGATTTCTCTATTTCGTTTTCTTCTAAAAGTCTACACAAAATAATTTCTAACAGAATAAGAAAGAAACGTGAAGCTGGCAACAATTTGTTGCATATAATTCCTATGATTCTCATTCATGAAAATGTTTAAAAATCTAGATTTGTGTACATCCCTGATAAAAGAAAAATTCGTTTATTGATAATGTTGCATTTATTCTCTCTTATGCTTTTAGGAACTGTCCGTATTTTTGGTGCAGAAAACAGAATCAGCAATCGTTACTTGGATAATTTACTAAAATCGTATGGAGTTGGTAAAAAATTAGCATGGAATTCTGGAGCATTTATGGGCCTTGTCAGTTTTTTAATAGCTGGAGGTATTGCCATTGTATTGTGGTAAGAAGATTTATTCTACATTTTTAGTTTTCTCAATACTTTTTTGTTTTGTTTTTTATTGGTATGGAGCAAAATTAGTTCATGATAGGAAATTAACTGCTGGTCTTTTCACTTCATTTTTAATGTACATGTTACAAGTTGCATTGGCATTTGCTTTTCTCGCTTCATTATTTACTGGTATGTAACTAAATTACTTATGACTGTTGTAATTTAATAGTTATGTTTTTGTAATCAAGATTTCATGCAAGCCGTTGGAGCTAGTGAACGTATATTTGATTTACTTGATCGTCAACCGAAAATTCCCGCAACACCAAATTCACAGAGTTGTATAAAGCCAATGGATTTCGATGGACATGTTCGACTTGAAAATGTTTGTTTTACGTATCCAACACGGTCAGATCAACGAGTGCTTCATGATATTACATTTGAAATAAAATCGGGACAAAAAATTGCATTAGTTGGGCCATCCGGTGGTGGTAAAAGTACGATTGCTTCTCTTCTTGAACGATTCTATGATCCAGATTCTGGAACAATTTATTTTGGATCAAATCCATTAAAATCTATTGATCCTAAATGGTTACGTGAAAATGTGTCATTTGTTAATCAGGAACCATCATTATTTGCTTGTTCAATACGTGATAATATTACATTTGGTCTTGATAGAACTGATATCACATTAGATGAGATTCAAGAAGCTGCTAAACAAGCAAATGCTCATGATTTTATTGAGAAATTTGAAAATAAATATGATACATTAGTTGGCGAACGTGGTGTTCGTCTATCAGGTGGACAACGTCAACGAATAGCAAGTAAATAGAGAAGCGAATTTTCTTTTCTATTGAAACCAAAAGAAATTATTTTTAGTTGCACGAGCTCTATTAATGAGTCCAAAATTATTGCTACTCGATGAAGCAACAAGTGCATTGGACGCTGAAAGCGAACATTTAGTACAGGAAGCTATTGAACGAGCCATGATTGATCGTACAGTTTTAGTTATTGCACACCGTTTATCAACTGTCCGCAATTCCAATTCAGTTATTGTTATTGACCATGGTACAATTGTTGAACAAGTAAATTTACAATGAAATAATCTTCTTATTCTTATGTTCTATTTTTTCTATTTAAAGGGAACTCACGATTTTCTTATCTCAAAAAATGATGGCATTTATAAAAAGTTGGTTCTTCGCCAACTTATGGCAGGAAACAATTCTATAACTACCGATGAATAATTTATTATTCATGATGAAATAATTGTGAATCGTTACTTTCTTTTCCGCATACAACTTCAAAATTATCATCTACCGTAGTTTATGTAGATATTTATCAGCAGTGGCCCTATTCTAAAATTCTAGAATTCTGGACTAAATTTATATGAATTGATGTTCTATTAGCATAGATAGAATTTTGGAATTTTCAGAATTCTAGAATTTTAGAATATATATATATATATATATATAGATGAATATTGATTTCATATTAGTATAGATGGAGTTTTGGAGGGTGTGTGGGATGTGAACGTGAATGCGGATGTGGATGTAGGTGTGGGTGTGGGTGTGGTTGTGGGTAAGACACAAAGAGTGTGGGCGTGGGTAAGACTCAAAACCATACCCACACCCACACCCTCTGATTGATTCTTTAGTGAATTATTTCGTATGCCTAGCAATTCGTACAGCTCGTCTTCTTAGGGTTTGAAATTCTCATCATTTCCGTTTCACAAAATTTCTATTCAGACTAAGATTTTATTTCTTTCAAACTTCTAGTGATTTTAATAGTAAAATTTCGCCATTCTAAAATTCCAGAATGCTGAAAATTCCAAAATTCCATCTATGCTAATAGAACATCAATTCATATAAATTTAGTCCAGAATTTTAGAATAGGGCCACGTCTCATATTTATTGACTCCAAAAGCTATCTGATCATTTCCTTCTTTTTACATTGACATTTTTGCTAAGCTTCCAAAGATCAGATCTCTGCAACATCAAAAGTCGACTTATGTGCATTGTGGCATAGGAAAAATGAGTTCTATTAGAATGATCCAAAATGATGACGTAAGAGTCCTTTATAACGTGAAATGCTAACCGGTGTTTAGTGATATTTGTTTTTGCTTCGGGATATATCAATTATAGGGAAAGACAAAAGTTTAATTTTTCTGCTATTTCGTATTGAAACATGACTGGTAGACTTTCTGTGCTATTGACATATCTTGCTCGAATAAAGCTGTGCAGAATGATTTACTGTTTCATTTTAGCTGATTCCAATAGAATATTTGTCGTAAATATCAGACAGTGAAGAACAGCAGTTTTTAAATATTTCTCAAAGCGTGTATCTGTAGAGGATTTTCCATAACTATGGTACATAATGCACAACTAGTGAACCCTATGACTTTAAGATCTTTCCTGCATACTAATTCCAAAATATTAAAATTATGATTACAAACAAGTATTGAACAAGATTTTGCAGTAAAAAATGTGAACTGTAAAAAGCAGTCAACGACTAAAACTCACGAGTCTAAAGAGCAAATTCAAATAGTGGTATTAGTATGAATATTATCTCCAGTGAAAGATTTCCCTCTTCCATATTAGAGACTCATCATTTTTTTTCCTAAGGCCACATTCAAATATCTTCGATTTTTGATGGCGTAAAACGATTCACAAGTGTTTTGCCGTGAATACTTTCAATATTGATTGCACTATTGTCTTTCATAAGAGTTATATCTATTTAGTTGAGAAAAAAACTAACTTCATAATATAGTCTTTTTGTTCTTGGTGTTCTTATTTTCTATTTCTACATTTACATTTACATTTACATTTACATTTACATTTTCATTCCATTATAATGCATTTTTCTAGATGGCAGGATTATTTGATGGTTGTCTCCCAATATCTTATTATTATGAAAAATTAAATTTGGATAAATTTGAAATAAAAGAAAATCGTAATGCAATTGCATCAGTAATTGCTGGATCGTTGGTTCGTATTAAACTTGATCTTGGAATAGAAAACTGACCTTAAAACAATTTATTGCTTGGTATTTTAGTTTGCTATTGGCTGGTGGCTAATCATTGATGTTGCTGTACGTTATCCATCAAATAATGAATTTCATAAGGCTCTGCTTACAATTGGAATAGTTGCGTCACTTGCTTTAATTTTGTAATTCATTCTTTTTATTTCATGATTTTCTTTTTTGCGACAAATTTTCCTATTATTGTAGCGTTAATTCAATATCAAATTCACGTTTTCGAGGAGACGCTTATCGTGATGGTTGCGTTGGTTTAGTGTTAGCACGCATAATACTTTTTATTTCATTTTTATTTATTTTCGGAAGTGTTATTGCTGGCGCTTGGATTATGATTGCTTTATATTTAATACCAAATGCAGAACATATATATCCAGGTGTCGCGATCTTTCTTCAAAGTTTACTTATTTTTACTAGGTAAACTTTTATGATTTTTTTTCATTAAAACAAAATGACTTATTTCTTTTTATTTTCAGCACACTTATACTCAAATTCGGACGAACGGAAGATGATTAAATATTGTATTTTATTAGTATAAAATTGTATTGTCGTCAAGACCATTTTTTTTGCTTCTTGTCCTGACATTTCTTTCGATGTTCTTTTCTTTTGTATTAAATTTTTTTGTCGCTGATAAAAATTAAAATTAAAAAAAACACAATAAAATCTTAATTAGATTCATAAAAGAATTGAGTTATTTGCTTTTTAATTAAACCATTACACACGAATGATCCATTTACGTTCGAGGATAGATAAGCATGTCAATGACTTGATTTTTATATTATGCAATAGAAACATTTTGGTTGCTCTAAATAAGATTTTACTCTATCATTGTGATAATACCCCTTTTCAACTTCCATACCATCTTATGCATGCTGTAGCATTTTAGAGGAAATCTTCGAGACAAGATAGTTTCGAGCAACCATTTAAAGAATACAGCAATCGATTTAGCTATGTCTCAAGCGACCAATGTATTCATTTTTTTTTGTCATTTCGAGGAAATATAAGTATTTCTGTTGTTCAAATTACAGCAAGCCCCGTTGTTAAAAATACGTTTGTAAAAACTATGTAATATTAGTTCTGCGGTTTTAACTTTTGAGTCATAACATACGAAATCTTGACAAGTTCTAGAGGTGATGAACATGAGCTCGTATATGTATATAGATAACTGCAGAAAATAAAAAATAGGATACCATGAACTATCCGTTAGTTTAGGTCTGATCTGTCAGTCATAGTCGCTATCGATTTATTTGAATATCCCTTTTCGTAAACTCATTTTTCGCTATTGATTTTATTTGTATCAAGCATGGCTTCTGAAAACATTGAGAATCTTTTTTTAATTTCTAATTTGTATTTAATTTAAAATAAACTATTCACATTATTTAATCTTCTATCATTATTTATATTGAGTGAGTTATCATCTTGTCGTTACTGTCCATTATCTATTATTCATTTTGAAAATTATACTTCTCTTTACCGCCAGCATGAGCATCAGTGCAATACTTCGAGTTTTTTTTCTCACATAATCCATTTTAAATACCACTAATTACACCAGCAATCTTGCAATCAGAATCTGGAATCTTAATTCTTGAAAAATACAGCTACGATGAGAATATTCTGCAATTTAAGACCTTCCAACAATTAACTATACAAAATTAAAAGTCCTCACTCATGATTCAATTTTACAAAAAGAGAATGATCATCAAAGTCATTTATTTAACTATCAATATAAAATCGTTTTTTCCTCTTCTTAATTTTATGATTTTGAGTATCGTGTTAACGTGTTCTCGCCGACTACTAATAAAACACGGTATCGATAAAGAGAAAATGCTTTCCAAATGGCAAAATCCGACTGGTGAAGGTTTAAAATCATATAATTAATAAATTATTCGACCAAATGCGACTGTTGCGTAAAATATTGTTAAAGGTTACTACGCACTGCGAACATCCTATGAATTAAATAGTTGTTTCATGAACAACATTGGCATATTTAATTAATTATCGTCGTATAGTCATTATAACTTAAAGAAGAGCCGTAACTCTAACGGTTTTATGAAACTTCAGTTTGATCATCGCTTATTATTTATCAGCAATTTTTTTGTTAATGTATCAAATAGAGTTTTACCACATTGAATCTACAATTAAAGGTTCTTTTGAAAATACACAAGTCACGATGAAAGACAAGTTTTTGTGTTGAAAATATCTTTTTCTATTAACAAATGTCGGATAAAGAGTAAAAGTTTATAATTAATAGGAATACTCCTGGTTACTTCTAGAGAAGACAGCAGGAAAGTAGGTGTCACTTATCCTCTTCTCATCCGTTAGCTAGTGATCATTATACCGTTTAATAACAAAAGAAAATACGTTCCAATTAGTAAGTGTATTTTCAAAGCAGGTATAAACCGTTGCAGAAATTTCCTGTTTTTAATTTGCAACTAATCATTTGTTGTCAATACATTTGATAAGTTACGCATATACGCGTGCGTAAGCAATCAGAAAACATTTGCCCAACAATGATTGAATATTTTACCAGTAATCGATGGTTTTATTTGCAAATAAGAGAAACAAAAATAACATACAACCTAAATTATACGCTCTTATTTGCCTTAGCGAATCGTATAAATATTTTTAATTTTAACGCGATGACTATTGTTATTTGAAACAGCTCATTTGGTTGAATACAAGATCGTAACATTTACATCAAAAGAAATAAAATTGAATTCTTATATAATATGGCATTCAAAAGGAAAGAAACGATAAAGTAACTTTGATTGTTGGTTACTACGCATATAAACGATCAATCACAATAATTGTAGAACGTGCAAAGTAAAACATCTATTAGCTTCAACAAAAAGTAATATATGTTATAGTCTCATATTTGAATGGAGAAAAACTTCTGTCTGTGAATGTCAGATTTTATTCAACGCTCAACATTTTACATTTTTTCCTGATACCTGTAGGAGTTTCATATGTTTTAATGCGACTTGTTATATGTGTTTCTCTGTTTAAAAAATATGAAGCCATAAACTGCAGAGTTTATGATTGTGCATGATTACCACTGATTTAGCTCAAAGGAACGCTCTTTACAAAAAAAACAGAAAATAATTGTTTAAATATATTCTTTTCTTTCCAGTCCTTTACGAACCATATTTTTAATCAGAATAACAAATAGAATATGTCAAAATACTTTTTTTCAATGGCGGAAGTTTTCGTAAGTAACTTGATAGAACTAGACAATTTACATGTTTAATTACAGAATAATGATCGTCATTTCGAATGTGCTGTCAGTAGCTGCCTCGTTGACATGAAATATGTCAGAGTAAGATTAAAGGCTCTTCAGATGGTATCAATTAAATTTTGCTTCAGCTATTTGATTATTTTAATTGAATTGGCTGATGTTATATTTATCAAATAGAAACATAGGTTTCTATCTGTTTATGATTTTTTTCCTATTAAAATGACTGTGACTGATATTAGTTTATTATTTAGAATCCGTAGCAACTATTTCTACTTCAAAATTGTCTTCTGATATCAGTCACGTAGATAGAATTAATCGTTTGAAGCATATCATATTCTTTGATGAATGTCGTGTTGAATATTGTCATTTATTAGAAAATGACAAAATGCAATACTTGAATATGAAATAAGTAAATTGCTATAAGCGACATCGCTAGATCATCTTAGACAATGTGAAAATAATTACCCAACAAAATAATTCCTAAGCAATTTTTCGTCACAACAAAAAGACTTACTATCATGAAACATCTGTTTCGAATTCTAAAGAAAGTGATCAGCGTAATAGCTGCGAACTGGCCATTTGAAATATGATGAGATTCTTGTTGCTTTCTATCTATTCTAAAATCCCGTTTCTGTCTCATCCTTTTATTTAATCTTTCGGAGATACACATGCAAGAATTAGTTCTTATATTTCAAAGAAACTCTATTGCGATACGACCGTTGATCTAATATACAATTTTTGAAGCTAAATAGGTCCTAGTTGTCGGTATAATATTAATCATACACGCGAATAAAATGCTTTTCATCAATGTCATGGTCTGCCGATTTCATTTTCTGCATTTGGAATGAGATCTTTCTAACTTATCTGTCGCGATAAGTGCATATGGGGTGAACATGTAAATTTTTGCCCTACGCACTTTGACTCTTCTGTTGTATTGTGTTTCAAAAAAAACATAGAACAACAATTTTTTTTATAATAATAACGTCAACACAACAGTTAAAATCAAGAATAAAGAGGCTTATATACATTTATTTTCTATAAAAAATACTATTGAAATAAACTATAAATCCTTATTGCATACAACTCTACATCAAATTTCCACATAACAATCAACATGACATGAAAAGGGACAAAGCAGACTTTTTCTGTTGTCTTCGTTTTTCTCTCGTTTTTTCTTCTTCTTTTTTCCATTTCTACAATCACACTAGTGACTGCTTCCGGTCACAGACATTCTTTTTTTCTTCGTTCGTGTGAGCTAACATCCTTTTAACTGAAGACAAAAAAAGAGAAAAAGAAAAAGAAAAACGCAAGAAAAAAAAAGTTATAATGTAGACAAAGTAATTTTCTTTCTTACATTGTTTAGTTCAGTCAAAGACGCAAAAATAGTACCTATGGATGAAAATTTTTTACGTAATTGCTATGTAATACGGAATTCGGAACAAAAACAGCAGCATAATCATCGTTATGCACGTTTTGATGATCATCGTTCATTTACAGAGCAACAACCTCAACAGCAACAATCAGCAGCGTCACCACCTATTGATAAATATCATTTTATCTATTTAGCATTATTTTGCTGTGGAATAGGGTTTTTATTACCTTATTCAATCTATATAACATGTGTTGATTATTTTCATACACAATTTCCACAAACAGCTATTGTATTTCATTTAAATTTTATTTATATTATTGTGGCCTTTAGCACAGTTGTATTTAGTAATATTATTGCAAATGTTCTATCTCTTAAACGCCGTGTTATATTTGGCTATTGTCTAACATTAGCTACATTTATGTCTATAACGATCTTTTGTGTTGGCTTAGAAGTTTTTCCACCGCAATGGTCCTATTGTATTTTTCTATTATCTATAGGCATAATCGCAATTGGATGCACATGTAAGATTCATTGTTTTTTTTGTTTGCTTGAAATAATATATCAATATGTTCTCTTGTTTCTACTAGTACAACAATCAAGTTTCTATGGACTAACAAGCATGTTACCGTTTCGATATACACAAGCTGTTATGACAGGCGAAAGTATGTTTTTGATTCATACTTTTTTTGTTTTGTTTTGTTTTTGTTAATAAGTTTTTATTTTCAAGGTTTTGCTGGTCTACTTGCATCTTGGTAAGAATGATTTTATTTTTTTGAACGAAATACGCTTTGAAAAGAGAAAACTTCAATTTTGAATTATATGTTTTAGTGCTCGAATTAGTACAAATTTATTTATGTCAAGCGATAGTCATTTAAGCACAATATTGTTTTTCTCATTGGGTCTTTTATTTGTACAACTTTGTTTTATATCTTATCTTGCTATTCAACGTTCAAAATTTATCGAATATTATGTTTATCAATGTGAAAATGCAAAGAAAAATGAAGACATTGAATTTCAAATTCGTTGTCATACAGCATCGATTAACTCGAAACAGGCAATAGTTGATGATAATGTAAGTTGTTTTGTATGCTTTTAATATTTCTCTTCTTGTTGATCTAATATTCTTTGTCTTTTAGGAAGAAAATCTTGAATCAAATCCATCAAATATCCAAGATCTTCATTTCGGCATTTTAACTGTTGATACATTTGATGATCAACAACAACCAATTATATCATCCTATGATAGATATTCATTAAATCTACGGTTACGAATAAAACGTATGTTGACATTTTTTAGACGATCATAATTTAGATGTATGCTTTTAATTCTATAGGTGAATGGTATTATCGAGTTGATTGTATGAGAATAATTTGGCCGTATATGATTTCTATAGCATGTACATATTTGGTGACTCTATCATTATTTCCTGGTGTTGAATCCGAAATGATTAACTGCCAATGGCGTGAATGGTTACCAATTATTTTAATGGCTTTATTCAATACATTTGATGTTTTTGGTAAAATATTTGCACTTTTTACTCATCATGTACTATCACCAATGCAACTATTGATCGGTAGTCTTTTACGTTTGATTTATATACCATTGATGCTCTTATGTATATTACCAAAACATGCACCATTACTATCCAATTTATTTTGGCAACTCTTTTTTTCGAGTACACTTGGTTTGACCAATGGTTATTTTGGTAGTGTACCGATGATTCGTGCACCAGTAACAATTATTGAAGAACGTAAAGAGCTCACAGGAAATTTAATGATGTTTTCTTATTCAATTGGGCTAACAGTTGGCAGTCTTCTTTCTTATCTACTTGATGCAATCATTGGTCAAAGTACGGGTGTTGACTGGTGTCAGCCGGTATCGTCACTCAATCAAACAATATGGGCTATATTTCACAACACCAGTATTTCTTGATATTTCAACTCATTTATCATCATTTTATCTGACAACAACCATCGAATGCGACAGAAACACTACCAGAAAAGGGTACAACTACCGAAGACTATTCATCATAGTTAGCTTTACTTTTACATATAAGTATAAATATATATATATATATATATGCATACATTTATTCTTTTCTTCTCATAAGCCATATACTTCTCTTTTTTCTGATTTGGTATATACATCTATCTGTTGAATTATGCTAATGAAATTCTCTTGGTTTGGTATGTCAAGAGAAGATATTCTGACAGAGTTTATAAGTTTTATTTAAATTTTAGTTCTATTGATCATTTTGGTTGTTTGTCGAACGTCTCCATTATATAATACTAATAATGATGATGATGATAATTATGTTGAGGACAATTATAAAATACCACCACTTACTGCGGAACAATTGACTGAATTAGGTCAATATCTTAAACTTAAATATAAAGAAGAATCAGAATCTGATGTTTTAAGCCGGATGATTGATCATTCCGACGAAAATGATGTATCTAAACGTGATGCTTTATGGACAACAACAGAAGTTCTTGAGTGTATTCGACGTTTGCGGCATTCAAAAAACATATCAAAACTTGATCTTGTTACTGAAATGCTCAATTGTTATCGACGTTTGAAACATAGCGGTTAACGAACATTATTATAATTATTTTAACAATTGAAATAAATGTAAAAACTCTTTATGTACGACTTAAAAAAACAAAAATAAACATCAACTTTCAGATTAAATATTAAGATAAATAAAGCTGTTATGCAGAAAATTTGAATAGCCCATATAGCTAATCTATAGAAAATAGTACTAGCTTATCAGACATGAATGAAAGTACTTCTTGTTTTGACTGAATATTTAAAAAAAAAGAAGATTTCGCGCTTACACTTTGAAAATAAATTTGATTATCTATACTTGTTAGAAATTACGTCAAATAGAACATATTGAAAAGTTTGCAAGCTTAAATGGTTAAGAAGCTATTATATTTTTTGTGATAGATAATTTGCATTGTTTATCATACAAGAAGAAATAAGAGTTTGTTCTTTTATAAAGAAAACTATTTTCAATCAAATATCATTAATACTTTAAAATTTCGATTAAATTCTGTTATTGACCAATTAAACATGTGTTGTTTGGTAAGTTTTCATTAAAAATATCACGAACATCAGTCCTAGATTTATTCTCTCTAGAGTGATTAGAGTCATAGACTTCAATCAAAACTCTATTTCTCAATCTGTTAATCATCCTATTGAATATCCATGTTGAGTAATCATTTCAAAACTTTCCAACAATACAAATATAATCAAAAACGCTATTTACCTGAAGAAAATAATCATACTAGTAAGTACTTAATGGTAGATGCATCAACGTTAATATTAACAGTTAGGAGATCAAAAAGTAAGGTGATGCGAAAAGGTTAACACAACAAAAATATACCTTTGATTTATTTTGAATACTGTTAAACACTTAGGTCACATCTAGATAATGACTTTAATCATCAGTGGTATTCCGCATCAAACGTACTCGATAATAGACTTTCGGATAGTCTGATTTCTTGAAAATTAGACACGTTAGTTTTCATATCCTCGACAATCTTGTCGAAACGGCTCAACGCCATTTTGAAGAGCAGACAATTGCGCATGAAATAAGACGCTCTCGTGTTTTGTATGATCTCAGAAAGTGAAAAGTTTAAAACAAAGCTAACTAGAAGGATGAGTTTTTAATCAATGCATTAATAAATTTCGTCTACTTAGAGTTTCCTGCGATGTGAAGTAGTGTTAATAAAAGAAAATGTTTACGATGAAGTTTTCAAGCACATGAAAACTTGGCATAGAACTTATCGAATAGAAAACTGCATTTGATCTAGCTACTCGATATAATAGAATTTTAAAAAAAATCGTATTTATTCTTGAAGATACAGAAGAACTAGTCGGTATTCAACAAAAGCCGCAACAAATGATCGATTGGCTTCCAATAATGTCCATAATTGCAGCTGCTATCATATGTTTTATTGCTTTCATTATTCTATGTAAACGACATATGTATGTGTATTGAAAGTGAATTTATTTTATTACCGTTTTACTTAGAAATCATCGTGGTTATATTCGTCCTCAAATCAAACAGCGAGGAAAGAATCGAAACAGAAATAATAATCGGACTTCATGGAATACATATGATGTTGCTGAATGTATTGATGGTGATATTGAATTTGTAGCTGGACTTAATATAAATTTAGCAAGAGGTAGTTTCATACTTAACGATGGTCATGCTCAAATGGTTTGTCTATATGTAACTGAATGACATCTGAAAGACGGATCATTTTTCTTTCAGCTTAATTCAATGAGTACGTTTGATCGTCTTCAATATTTTCAAACGCTTACAAACCATATCAAATAACAGAGTTTTACGTCGATTATAAATGAAAGTAATAAATATTTTATATAAGATATTTTCTACGTGAGATCAGAACAACGACATTTTCCTTTTTGTTTCGTTCTTTGATATCAATTAAATATGGGATAAATAGATTAAAGAAGAGTAGGTTTCTCATGAATCTTCCTACCGTCGATTTTTTAGTCTGCGTAGGAGATAGACTTATAATTGATATACTGAGACTACGCATTACTTTTTAAAGGTTGGATTCATTTGTTTTACTCATCCGGTTAATCGTTCCTTTGATAATACGTATATATATATAAGAAAAAAAATAAAGTCAATGCTAGTAACTTACGATCAATTTATTCATCCACAACAATGCTCGGTTTAATTGTTATCTTCACTATAATTTCATTTGTCGAGCCGATGGCTTTCAACGTTACTGGGAAAAGTTTGTTTATTAATGAATTTTACTTTGAACTATTTTTTTTCTCTTCAAACCATTAACAATTTAGATCAACAATGTTGTGGAACTTGCTTTGTCTATGGTTGCCCAGTGGGTCAATGTTGTTCACAATATGGATAGTAAATAATTTGAAAGTATACTTTTTCCTATGTCAAATTTATAATATTTAGTTGTGGTGCGACACCAGAACATTGCCAAGGAGCCATAACACAAGGTGATTGTAAAAATAAAGGATGCCCTGATGGTTTATGTTGTTCGAAATTTGGTTTCTGTGGCAATACACCTCAGCATTGTGACAATACACCAATAACAAATGGGAATTGTAAAACGGAAGGTTGTCCACCAGGACAATGTTGTAGTAGACATGGCTTGTATGAAAGACACATCGCATCCTAGATTATCTCTATTCGTTATTATATTTAATAGTTGTGGTGCCACATTGGAACATTGTGGTAATCTTGATCCAACCGCTGGCCAAGGAAATTGCCAGCAGACAGGGTGTGCACCTGGCCTTTGTTGTTCAAGATTTGGATAGTATGAAAAAATAAACTTCTTGTTGAGTATCTACAATTGAAATATGTGGTTTTTCTTTTCAATAGTTGCGGAAGAACAGCAGAACACTGTGCAGGAACACCGGGATCCCCCGCTCCAGGAGGTAAAACAAATCTGAATATTACTTTTCCTAAATATAACTCAATTATTATGTTTAGGATGTGCAACTTGTCATAATAATGTATTGCCAAGTTGTGGTACTACTGGCTGTGCTGGCAAAAAATGATTCTTTTTAAATTTCTTTTTCTAATAAATTTCGTGTCATTTAAAAAAATATTAATTCAAAACATTTTTATCAGATTATAATTGAAATAAAGATAAATGATTTTAATAAATTGATTGTAAATTAGTTCATCGGAAAGCCACAAAAACAACATAAAACTATTTTATATTCAATCATTATAAAAATAATTCCAGATAATCAAATGAATATAAGCCTATATTATTTCATCGGACATGATTGATATGACATTAAAAAAAACTTTTTTCTATCAAAATATATATAGAGTAATCTTATCATGCACAGCATGTCAACATCGAAAACAAATATAAACGTACGTCATAGGTGCATATCAGTGTCAATATATAAGGTAAAAAAATGAGAAAAATCTTTGCTGTTCTGATTTCTACCTGACATATAAGGTAGAAATTCGCTTTGTATTTTCATGTCACTTTTTTTCTTTTTTGTTTCATCAACACATCTCAAAATAAAAAAGGAATATGGGAATCAATGCCTATATTCCAGGCCTAGCTATAACAGGCTGTGTTTTTTGTGGTATTCTTGCTGCGTTGCATATTTATATATTTATATTGGAAGCAATACTTTGGCGGAAACGCGCAGCTAAAACATTTCGATTACCACAAGCAACTGTCGAGATTGGTGCTGGTCTAGCAGCTAATCAAGGTTTTTACAATCTTCTTCTTGCTGTTGGCCTTATCTGGGGACTAGCAGAATTAAGTCCAGATGTATTGTTATTTTTTTCAGCGGCAGTATTCACCGCTGGAATATTTGGAGCAATCACGGCATCTCCCCGTATTATCTTTGTGCAAGTTATACCGGCTCTACTTGCTTTTATTTTTGTTGATTTTGGGTTTTTTTCGACCAAAGTTTGGTCTTATTGGAAACATCCATTATATTTATTAGTTATTTTAATGGGTGCTGGTTTCTTGACAGTTATTTTGAGTTTTATTATTAAAAAATATTTTCTAGAAGTTATTTCGAAAATATCATTAAAACCAGATTCATCTAATGATAATTTGTAATTTCAGATGAATGCTTCATTTTTTGAACTCACATCTCTTGCTTTTACTAATGATAAAAATAAATAGTTTTGAAAAGCCAGAATTATCAATTCATTTTATGACAATGAAATATAACTGACTGTATTGTTTGACAAAAAAAAATTTTGTTATGTATATTTTATGACATTTAATTTTTTGACTTCTATTCGAATTTTAATCCATTCAAACACAAAAAAAGAACCATTTACCTGGATAATATACAAAACAAAAGCAACTGCAGGTATTGTCAAATATACTTGAAGTATGTGCAACAAAAATACGATGAAATAAAAGCAGACCAATCGCAGAAACATTGTTACAGATTTATCTATCTTCATCATATTTACTTATTTATTTGTCTACCTTTGCTCGACTTGGTCCATGTCCTCCTGTACCAACGGAATGTCCACCGTAAGCATTTTTATGTCCTAATTGTCTACCTCGTTCGATAGGATCAGGATTCATACCTGGATGTAATTCTTCTTGTTTAAATTGAGATGAATCTGATACATGTTTTCCACCAACAGGTTGACTACTGCCTATAAATATTAATTTCAAAGTTATGCATTTTGAAAACCACCAGACTACATACTGCAAATACTATTCGTGGCACCGTGTCCACCTGTACCTACACTTAAACCGCCATGAGCATTCGCATGTCCAAGTTGTTTGAGTAGCTTATCTGGATTATATGGCATACCCGGATGTACCGGATCTTGAAGTCGTTGGTCATTAGAGTGTTTGTCGTCATTATGTATTGGTCCTTCTGACATGTTGATTAATTTTGAAGTATCCTTGGCAGTAAGAGTGAATAAGTAGTTGTAATAGAAGTAGAAAATGAATGCATATAGACAAAGAAAAGCATTACTATTTATAGATATTATTCTTTCTGTGTTTAATGATTGCTGAATATATACTATTTCCCCTTTTCTAGTTTTCTTATCGCGAGATTGTTAAGAAGAAATTTCTAATTTGACGTTGATGGAATGAGAATAATGAGGTAAAATAAGTGAAAAAAATTCAGCAACGCAAAAGTGTGTGACTTTGTGTTATCGTGGTACTATATATTTTACAGAATAGAAATAAATAGAATGGTTTCGTTCTTTTGTTTGCATTTAATTATACTAACGAACAACAATGCAAAAGAATAATGCTTCAGTTTCTTTTCTTTCCTTCCATTCAGTAATTACAATCGTATTAAATTTCAAGTCGTAATTATTCATACTTTGCCTGTATTTTTTAATGAATGATTTATTTTTAACACAGGAAAATTAAATAGAAATAACAACTTTCATGTAAATTTCAGTTTCCATAGTTTGTATCAGTGAATCCTATTTGTCAAACACAAAAGCATAAATACTAATTTGAATAAAAATATAATCTTACTTACTCAATAAATAATAACTATAAATAAAATAATAAACCAATCTATTGTTTTGCAGGCGTAGCCATTTATATAAGAGACTTCAATTAATTAATTCGTTTAATATTCTCAAATGTCAAATATCGTTTTTTCTTAACAATGAATGACACAAGGTTTCCAACTTTGTTTTTATTATATTTAATAAGTCGAAGGTCGCGCAAATTCATTGCTTCAGAACATTATATAAATGGATTTTCCAAATACAATAACGAACATTCATAATAATTTGACTAGACTAAATGTAGCTTAGTCGATTTATTTATTTTCAAGAAAAATTTAATTTTAAACAAATATTTTTAAAAAGCGCATAGTATTTCTTTTCCTGTTTTCTTATATTTTCCAATAAAATTCTCAACAGCAGAGCCGTTGTCGTTCGCTAACAGATGAACCAAACAGTTATTAATAGTACGACAGATCTTTTATTTATATGGAATATAAATAATATATTTGATTCATATCAATCTGTATATAATTCATCAATCAATAATGAAACTGTATCTAAACGAAGTACTTTTTCTCAAGATTTAGTGATTATTATATTTCTTAGTTTACTATTTTTAACAATTTTTATATGCATGATACAAACATGTATACGACGACGAAAGTATAGAAAAAAAAGAGATGAATTGCATTCCATCAAAGATCTGAAGACAAATACAGTTGAACTCGAAAAAACAATAATGGAAACGTCAAATGAATTTAATAGTTCATTTCAATATTGATTTTCAACTCTTTATATTGCTAAAACTGCTCAACACAGATAAGTTCTGTTGGTGTAGCGGTTATCACATCTGCTTAACACGCAGAAGGTCGCAGGTTCGACACCTGCACAGAACATCGCTTTTTTTTCTCTGATACTTATTTTTATTCCGTTCTGTCGAATAGATATATCCCAGTGAAAAATAATCATAGAAAAAAAAAGGAAAGAAATGCATTCATCAGGATAGGGAAGAAGCGTGTCCAACGACTGAGAGTTAGGAATTCTTCATCAGTTCCCCTACAGTTCGATGCATACTAAAAGTAAAAAAATGAGCTATTCACGATAATTTTTGTTACACTTATTTTCACCTGCGAAATTGTGAGAATCAATAGTTCCGTGTACAATTTATTTTAAAAATAGCAATATCGCGACCTTCGTGGATGGTGAAATTGAGTGGGAACCAATGATTGGTTCTCATTTTCCCTAGAAATTATCACAGTGGCATTGACAATTCATCCGCACATTAGGAATTCCTATTTCTCAGTTATTGGACACTGTTGGCGCCTGTACACATGGATAATATAATTGCACATTAATGTCACCTTTTTTACGTAGTGTTAGTAGATGCCTAGCATATTATTAGTTTTTGGGTACAATAGTTTGTTTTAAAAGCGCAAGGATGTGTCTTGTGTGGTTGATATCAAAAAGGAATTTTATAATTACTGTTGAGAATAAATTTTGAAAAAACAGTCTCATTAATGTTAGTCGACTCTGTCTATTTTTTTATTTGAATATTAGATTTAAATTTTAAATATATATATATTCATATTTAAAAAGAATACATGTTAACCCGTACAGAGGATTTTTTTCATTTTAATATGTAAGCATAAATTGTTTTAAGATATTTTGATAAATATTTTTTTATATAATGATTGCTTATTTTAATTTTAAAAGCAATAGACTAAAAATAAAATTTTTATCTTTTTTTCTATTGAATATGAATGGAGATGGGCTTTTAAAATGAAAATTTACATGTTGATTCTAATATTTTGTTCAACTCCAGTTGTATTTTCACTACACTCCCTAGTGAATGTACTTACCCAGCGAGTACTCAAAAAGTACTCACGCTAGAAAATGCCGCGAGAACTCGTAAATACTAGTGGGTTTTAGTACTCATCAGTAGTACTCGTGTTAAGATCTGAGTATCTGAGTACGACTATCGAGTACTCGTTCTGTAAACTCGAGTGTTTTGCGAGTACTCATCATACATTTCTTGAGTACTCTGGTGGAGTTTTGTAAAATACTCAGGCTTCAATATTTTGTTCTGCATCTTTCTACTGCGTTGAATTTATTTTATTTAAAAACTGATGATAGAACAGTGACGTACATGATAAGAATTTCAGAAACGAATTGTTTTATTATTTCAAAACGCTGTATAATTAGGACATAGAGATAAAACATTTATCAACAGAATGCAAGAAAAAATAAATAAAAATCTCTGTTGAGAACATTACAACATATATAAACACAAACACAAACACAACGATAAATAAATTATGGATCGAATTAAGATACGCGATAACAATACACATTCACTTTATATCATTACAAAAAAACACGACCAGTTTAAATCGAAAACTAGTATCGTTAAGTAGCAAATAAAAAAATCGATGAACTATCTTCTATATGATAGATGTATCTTCAGAATATTGAATTTTATGATTTTGTGAAAAAATTTCTCAAATGGTGACCGTTCAATTCGTCGCAAGACAATTCGTTGCGATCAGTTCGTCGCATATATAGGAGAGGATACATTAATTGAATTAAGATATTTAGTGTAGAATGTTATTTAATTAATCACTCTGGCAAATGTTTTTCTTCAGAGAATAATGGCTCTTTCTTGATAATACTTTTTTTTAACAATAGAGATCTGAATTTACAGGTTTTTTAAAATTAAATAAACTAGAATTTAGATGACAAAGCTCAATAGAATTGAATTAAAAATGAATTGAATTTTTTCTAGTATGAAAATTAAAATTATATAGAAATAATGTTTTTTATTCAATGATTCGTAATGATGCAAATTAGTTATCGTTATTTGGAAAAAAGATGACTTAAGCAGTAGCACATAAGAAAAATAAGAAAATCTAGTATTTGAATTACACATATATTGATAAAAATCAAAATTCTTTAACAAATCATACATGATTCCTGAAATTCAATCTTCTGTATTCCAGAGATAATCGACAACATTTATTTCTTAACACAATTTGTAGACGAAACACTACTTCTATTTGTAGAAAAT